GTTACCGAGTTAAGAGCATTAAATTTTCAATTGCCTTCGGCAGTTTGATAATTGAGGAACTTGATGCAAAAAAATGTATACATATATTTATTTAATTTTATTTAACTTATTTCTTGCGCGTATATCTTTATCAAACATAGTTTTTACATAGATTCTTTGTGATGTATTTATAAAAGATTATATAAAATTATTTTTATTATAATTTTTATAAATATAATAGAAGAGAAAAATGACAATAAAATCTAATGTTTTTTATAACATTTTAATGTTAGGTCTTATAGTTATTATTTCTAAAATTATTAATATTTCTATTAAATGTTTATCAATTTTAAAATTGCGTGGAATTTCATGGATACTTGATGCTTTAGTGCCAAACTTACATAATAATAAAATTAAATTATCTGGGGATTGTTTATTTTTAATTAGTTAATTCTTAGCATTTATTCTTAATCAATTTCAACTAAGGCAAAATTTGGTTGTACGGCCGGAAAATAATTGGGACGAGCGCGAAAGCGAGAGTTATCTTACCTACCATGAGATAGATTTAATTATGCGCCGAGACTTTTTACGCGAATTATCGGTCCCTGGTCTCCCCCGGGAATGGAAATTGCGGGGCCCCGGACGCGCGCGCGCACGCACGTGTGTGTGGGCGTTATCGATCGGATCCACGAGGCATTCCGGGTTTTTTACGACGGCTATTACTTGGACCGTATTTCATTCGACGTATTTGCGGTTGTCGTTGATAAACGATACAGTTGTATTAACCCTCTTAAAATACAGGGGAGGCTATACGGTATCACGATACCGTGCTCGCGATACGGCGGATATTAATAACTGGTTGCGTGCGCATCGAGCTGCATGTCTGCACGGACGCGTAACGATTGCGTAATTCCGCGTGCGGAAACAGATGTAAACGGTGCGTGATAAAGCGCGTATCTCTCATGCGTGTCTGCATACATCTCAATGATGCAATTATACGGATGGCTTTTATACGGGATGCTCGGTAATTGCTTAAATTAAATCAGAAAGATTGTTATAAAGTTGATAAACTTATACTCACATTTAAAGAAAACTTTATAAAAAAGAAGGCTATTTATTAATTTATAAACAAAAGATATGGCTATCTATATTCACCTATATAAATGCCAAGATTAAATCATTAACGCAGATGTATTAAAATCATTTTATCTGTCATAAAATAATTTTTTAAATGACATTATATTTTTGCTATATTTTTTCAAAGATATTTTAAAACTGAGAGATTTTTATTTTAGTCCTTGCTGCTTAATTTTAACTTAAATACATATTTATTTTATTCTATATTACAATACATTGCATGTAAGCAATATAAAACACAATATCTCATTTATCGTGTAAAAAATTATATTAAATAGCGTGGAATTTTAAACAATACAACACATTGACTCCTACTTTTTCAAACTGACTCATTGTCAGATTGAAAGTCGCCCATACGCGTTCTATTCACAGTACCTGCCACAACCTGTGACCTGATCGGGCCCAATCAAGTGGGCAGGAAGTATTAGCGCGCGTACAATGATACGTAATAGACTAATGATATAGGTACATACATACACATGTTCGATGTTCTGTTCAGTCGAGCGTCAAGCCACTGTAATAATAATTGTCCCGGCACACCTGACCCTCGTTAAACGCGTTGCTTAATTGTTCGCTACTCCTTGAGAACGACCCTTCACCTACTTTTTATACGACTCACGCGCGCTGCACGCTCGTATTCGCCTTCATTCGGTCATTGAGTCAGCTAAAATTATTTGTAGGAGTTTTTGTAATTATTTATTAACGCCCTTTTACGTGGATAATTATTGATCTATTTTTATGTAATTATAATATATTATGCAATTATTATTAATTGTATTTATTGGATGATTGCATAAGTTCGTGCCCGATTTTCATAGATGGCATTAAGTTACTGCATGGCGGAGTTCTATTTTTATTATAACATAGTTTATTTAACATATAATGTATTTGATTAGAAGCTTTTGTCAATTTTAATTACATCTGTCCATATTTTATATCAAAGATAATTTTAATATTTGGAAAACATAATTTATTTAAAATATATATCACACACACAATAAATATTTATAATTCGCGATTATTTCCGAGACTGATAGATGTAACGACCGCGAGACGTATCGTATTTCCAATCAATGACACTGACAGTCAACGTTATAGCCTTATCAGATAAATGCTCTTCCGTCGTGGCAGGAATAAATTTTCGCGGATACTGATTTCTACTTTAAAGGTCGTTTCCGACAGTTGCCAGCGTCGGAATTCGCCGTGATTTTTCGTCTCATTATACTGTTGCGCGATTCGATCGGGATATATTTCACGTGAGAAAATTTCCGTGTCCGAAAATTCCAGGACTCTTCGATCTCGCAAAGGCCATGCAAACGCAATTTTACGCTCATTAGAAAGCAAGGGGGAGAGAGGGAGAGAGAGGCTAGCGCATCCCCGCAACGAAGAAACGCAGCTTCGCCTCGTCTCGCGGAAGTCAAGGTCGCGGCTACGTGCGTGCGTGCGGACGCGTAATATCGGACGCGAAGCCGTTTTGCGGAGCCGTTTTTCCGGACGTATCCGGTCCCAAGGTCGCGCCACTTCCGAGAAAGGCCGCCGATGAACATCGTCGTTCTCCGATCCTCTCGATGCGAGCGAGAGGCACAAAACTATACTTAACCTGCCTGGGTTAAAGGCAGGAGACCCTCTCCTCTCTGGTTTGAGCGCGTGTCTCTGATTACGGGATGCACGAGAACGTGGCTCTCGACCTCCGATGCCGCCGCCGCATCTCGGTCGTCGATTTCGCGGAATGCGCGCCGTGTCGAGGAAGTCTATCCCCGCGGTTGATCGCGCTTTCTCCGCGAGACGAGAAAGTCGCAACACAATCCCGAGGAATTTTTTTCGGAAACGGTAACTGTTGAAACAAAGGGCGCTCATTTTTCGAGAATTTTCATAGAATTTGTAGAATTCAAATTAAACAAATATCACAGAAAAGGAAAAATGTTTGATTGATTATGTGTCAGTTTTACATTTGCTGCGCGTAGTAAATAGGAAACGTATGATTGAAAAAAAATGTACAATAAAAAAAAATTGAGTGGTTTAACGACAACACTGATTACTCAATCCATTTGTTTCAGAACTTAAAAAAAAAAGAGAATATTTTTTATCTAACATATATGCAATTTTTTCAACTTGTTAAAATTGATTTTTTTTTTAATTTTTAAACGAATAGATTTAAAAATATCTGTTGTCATCAGATACCAGATCTTTCATTTAAAAAAAATCGATTGCTATTAAATATCATATCTTTTATTCAAAAAAGTGTTATTTTTTATAAATATTTTATATGAATGAAAAAAAAATGACATTATGTTTATCAAGATTCTTTTAAACTCTTGCGCGAAAGAGAAGTGAAAGAAAATCTGGATCTCACAAGTATACTTTCTCAACTTTATCTCTTATCGATCTTTTTTTATTATATATTGTTGTTTTTCGACTCGGTTACTTTAATCGCGATTTTTTCGCCGGATTATTAGCGATCGATGGTTGAACAAACCCTCATGGAAAGGATTAATCCTGCCGTTCTCAACCTTCTTTGCCTTTCTTGCCAAGGAATTAAATGGAATCGTCAATCATCGGATTTATTGGGATACCTCGTTAATTCCCTAAATTATCGTGGCGAGCTTTATTGTAGGGGTTCTCGACAGGTTTTTTTTTATTTTTTATTTTTTTTACTAAGATGATACACGGCTTCTCTTTGAGCGTATCGGAACGTATTCAGATGTGCCGCCGCTGAGGGACGTAAAAAAAATTTGAGACCATTTCCGGCCGCTGCCAAACGACCCGCACAGTTCGTGAAATTCGGCATTTACGATTTTTCAAGAACGATTAAAATGACCGAAGAGTTAATCGTGATTGATGATTGCATTTTGGGGCGCTAACTTAAATCGAATTAACGACTCTTGGAAGTTGCCTACGGGTCAGGCAGATTCGAAAAATTGTCGGTTGTCATCAGCTAAACAATCACAGCTAATCAGCTAGTTTTTCGATTTTTTTCGAACATGATGATAGAAAGCGTGTCGCATTTTCTCTATTTGAAATATCTAAATAGCCACTTTTCACAAGATGACTTTAAAATTATAAAAATAACTATGATAATAAAACAATTCTAGTTAACAATTAATTAGAATTATATCTATTATAATTAAATCAATGATCAAAATCAAAGTTTATTCTTAAAAAAGGAATATTTTTATTTATATAAATAGTACAAAATATTAGATAACAGCGGTATAATATATTAATTTTAATAGGAGTATATTTTTGCATCGGTTTCTTTGATATGTAAAATACCATAAGGTTTTAGAGTTGAAAGGATCTTTTGCAAAACGTCGAGGTGTGCTCTCGTGTGGTCTATTGTGAATTCTAACGAGGCCTCGCGCAAACTAACGAGGGAACGAAGCATCTAAGGGAACGGTCCGGCCTTAGACACAAAAAGTGCTCGAAAACGGTTGCAGCCGCGGTTAGTGCTTTAATAGTTCTCCCTTCATCCGGTCCATCCGTGTGGCTCAGGATCTTAAGTGGCGGCATAGGTGCCTATAATAGGGCCCCTATGTCTGGCCCTTCGGGCTATTCTATTTTCCTCCCTGAATTCCGAGAGAGCGCCCGTAGATTCCACGATACGTCATCGTAACTCTTTCGTTCTCTATATTCGGGGAACCAGGACGATCCAGGACGATTGCTTTATCAGTAGAATTATGAAATTTCAGACACTAGCCACTTTACAACGCCTAATCGCGCTCGCATATTTCGGCGCGATTGTGAAATCAAATCAATTTCTTGATAATTAACGATTTTATATACTAAAAATAAATTTTTTTTAATCAGATACATTTTGTTAATTTTTTTTTTTTTTTTTTTTTTTTTTAAATAAAATTTTTTTAAAATCAAAAGACAGCATAACATCTATTTTATGAAAATAACGTAAACAAAGCGTACCCAGATTAAAACGTTGAGGGAGCAGAAAACGTGCCTGATGCACGTGTATCCTGTGCGGCCCATGTCTTGATCCTTCATCAACTTTTCACTCTGAAGGGGCTGGCAATGTTTCCTGCAAAAACGTAGAATGTGATCCATTTGCATTGTAAACAGAAAAAGGATAATATTGTTCGGCAATAAGGAAACTCGCGAGAGTAATGTCACTTCCCGAATTGACATTAGACAGTAATGTGCCGTCGAGGCACCGGGGCTATACCAACAATCACGGAGAGAATGCACGGAGAGTATTAATTACATCGACACAATCAGCAACTTTCGCCTTCTACCGCGCAAACACATAGAAAAGTCTCCGTCTTCCTTATCTTTCTCACGAATATTATTATTATTATTATTATTACACAATAATTACTATGATAAGGAACCCACCATGCGCATCAGCGCGAGAGTCTCGTGGTACGCATCACGGATCACCAGGAAATACTACGTTCGAGGAGCAAGCTGAGAAAGATAGATCGTGCGAGGAAAAGAGGAAGGGGAAAAAACCGCGACGAGAAAGACAGAGAGAGAAAGAGAAACAAAGTGGAGGAACGGGAGTTAATGGTGGAGGAGGAGGAAGAGAAGGCGGAGGAGGAGAACGAGAAGAGATCGACGTGCGAGCGCGAAGAGGATCCCGCTCGAACGCAGCAGCGTGGAAGATCTAGAGGATCGTCCCAGCTGACTGACTGACTGTCGATCGACTCGATCAGACGATTCTTGTCGGATGAGGATCCGTTCTGATATGTTCGAGCACGAGCCGATACGATTGGCTCCCGTTCGGTCTTTCGCGGACCTTCTAGGTCCGCTAACGGGACAGCCGCTTCGCTCCGGTTGAAGCCGCTCACCTACACGCGATCACGATTGCGATCACGTAAATCGCGACGGGAGATTGGAAGTGATACCTGCGGAGAGGCGAGGATGTTTTGCGCTCGTCACACGTCACTTTTCCCGTAGATGACCTATCGAACCGCGAGAATAAAAAGAAGTATAAAAAAATATTTATATTTGATGATAAAAAATTATTTATTAAAGTAAAGAAAACCTGTGTTCTTGAAACAAGTAGCCAAAACTAAAAAATGTTTTTCTTAAAGCAAGTAATTTAGTATAATAAAAGTAAAAAAGAAATTTTTTTTTTTATTTGTAAATTAAAGCATGCTTTGCTTTGGATCTAGTACATCTTTTTCAGAGTATATTTCGGAAAATAGAAGGAAATATATGGATTTATAACAGATTATCGAGCATAGAGTAGGGAAGTGCATCGTTAAGTTAATATAGCTGGAAATGAGTTACTGTCGCGTAACGTAACATTGAGGTCGCTGAATAATCGCTGAAAATCAATTTAACCTAAATTGCCGAAACCAGTTTAGCTGGAATAAATTTTTTTTAAATCGGTTAAGTGCTTGCATTAACGTGCGATCATTAAAATTCGAGTAGAAAAGAACGGGGAGATGAGTCTGGCAGATATGACCGATCCAGGCGAACCTATACATCACTATACGGTGACCAATTTAAGAGCAACGTTCCTCGTTCCGCGAAGGCTGAATTCGTTTAGCGAGAAGGACCACCGTAAACAGGAAAGGAGAAGAAATTGGTCAGTAG